ATTTCAGGTTTTGTTCTTTTTTTATTTTAGAACAGCAATTTAAACAAATGTGTATATATATATTTTTTTTTTTTTATTATTGTATATCTTATTTTTATATATTTTTATTTTGATCTTTTCTATTTGTAAAGTCTTTGTGCATCCTTTTTTTTTTTTTTTTTTCCAGTATTCAGAGGCTTTTATTCTGTGCCACACGTGACTCAGAGCATCAGACGTGTTCGTCTCCTCGTGTCTGTGGTTCTTTATGGATCATGAATGCTGTCTAGCGCATCCAAGTGCATCCCACCCCTTCTGCAGTGAAATAGTCCATCAGATGCGTTTCGCACCTGAAAGCAGCGTCTGGCACATGAAAGCCGATCCACGGCAGATGGGCGAGTTTGCTTTCAAAGCAGCTCCTGATGCGTTTGTGATGGCAGAATTCAGATGGAGAGAGAGAGTCAGATATTGATGTCAGTATTAAACACCATTAGTGTCTGTAGCTTTAGCTGTTTAGCAGTAAATCAGGCCGGTTCCTAGTAAACAATCAGGTGAATGTCTGTCTAGGGATGCTGTTAATCGCTCTTCTCTCGTCTGGAATAAGCACTTCATTAGTGTTGTTTGATATGGATAAATCACAGACGGGTTATTTCATACGTGTGAATGTTAACAGACACAGAAATAGGAACTGGCTAAAATATCCAGATCTAATAAGATGGATTCCATTTTTTTATTCATTCTTATTTGTGTTTTTCTCATTTTTATTTATTTATTTTTTTTTCTATTTTTTTTTTATAAATTATTTTTATTTTTTTATTTATAATATTATTTTTCACTCTCATGCTTATGTATTTTTCAAATTATTATATTTTTCTTATTATATATTATTATATTTTTCTAATATTTTGGATTCTGTGTAATTGCGAGCAGCTCTAATGAAGAAACCGCTGCTAGGTTTATGGATTAAAGACTCTCGAGTCAAAGCTAATGATGCTTTTTCTTTTGATTATTTGCCCATGAGAGCTTGAGGAAACTCAGCGTGCTCAGATGATGTTGCTTTAATGTTGTAATATCAGGATTAGTTTACTGGCTAATTGCAGCCACGACAAGTTTTCAAAATTCACCTTTAATTACGCAATTGTAGTATCTTAGTATCCCAGAATCCTAGGGCCTGTCAGTAATTAGATTTTCTAATGAATGTGTGAGTGGCACTTACTTGCTGCAGTGATTAAAGTTGGGACTTTAAGTAATTTCTTGAAAAAAGTCCTGCAACCTCAAAGTCTCTGTGATCTTCTCGTCTCAAGATATGATGTGTTTCCCTCCTTCAGTGTCTCTTGAGCCTTGATCCTGTTTTGTGTGTTTTTCAAAATGTTATGTTTATTTATTTTTTTCTATTTTTAAATTTATTTTTAATTTTATTTTCCTAATTTTTTATTTATCTCATTTTGATTTATTATATTTTAACATTTTATTTATTTATAATTTAATGATTTAAATGTTGTTTTGTTTATTTGTTTAATTGTATGAATTTATTTTTGTATTTTTTTAAAATTCCTTTATTTTTCTGTTTATTTATTTTTAATGTAATGTATTTATTTTTTTATTAATTTGTATTATATGATTTATTATATTTTGATAATTATATTTATTTATTAAGTTTATTATTTTTACTAATTATTTGGTATTTTTTATTTATTTATTTAGTCACTTATAAGTTTTATTTATTTTTAAATTTTGTATTTACTTTTTATAGTTGATTTTTTCTATTTATTTTTCTATTTATTTATTTATATTTATTTTTAAATTTATACCTTTTATGATTTTTTTTATTTTATATTATTTTTTTAATTCATGAATTGATATCTTATTAATTCATTCAAACTGTTGGTAAAAATACAAACAGTCACTAAAACTTGCATATTAAAAACTTCTGTTTCTGTAAATTCAGTTATTTCGTGTTCATCAACCCTTCATCATGCAATTCGGTGTTTATAGGGATGTCGTGCTGGGAATTACACCTGAAATGAGAAAACATCTGTGGGTTTACGTGACATGCATCATTATTATGTATTATTATTATTATCATGATGGAAATGATCCTGACACGAGTTTGTGAGCGAACGAATAACCAGGTGATTGAGACTCAATTAGAGCTCATTGTGTCTCGAGAGTCTAGAACAATAAACACTCACGGACATTTACATCTCACTCATGATTGACAGCAGAGGAGGCGGAGTCTGTCTGCAGTCTGATTGACAGCAGAGGAGGCGGAGTCTGTCTGCAGTCTGAGAACACAGAGAGCCAAAGAGCTGCGGGTCTGTGACGTTCTGACGGTTTCATGCAGAAGCGTTGAGTTCAGAGACGGTGACGGTGGCTCCGTTCTGCTCCGAAGCCCCTGTTTCTGTTCACTTTGAAAAATGTCACTTACATGTTCATGTCTCAAATGCTGGCCTGTCAGGACGGGAAGAAAAACACAGAGAAGCAACATTTAGCTCGACCGGCTCTGCACGGCGTTTCACTTCACAGTTTTTGTTTAATGGGAGCTTCAATCTGAAGAGTTCTCTGACTCTTTATCACAGAAAACTGTGTTTTATTGTAGCGTAAAAATTGCATGCATTAAAATAAATAAATAAAATAAATGAATGAATAAAAACATATTCAATACCTCAGTGAAATTACTACTTTTATTTATCAAAGTGACAGTAAAGATATTTCTGAAGATCATGTGACACTGAAGACTGGAGTAATGATGCTGAAAATACAGCTTTGATCACAGAAATAAATTACAGTTTAACAGATAATTACATAGTAAACAGCTGTTTTAGATTATAATAATATTTGACAATTTTTACTGTATTTATTTTTGATGAAATAAATGCTTCTTTCAGAAACATCACAATTATTCCAAACTTTTGAACAGTATATGGATGTATATGTGTATTTCTTATACTTTCAAAAGTATCTTGATTCCTTGGTTGAATCATTTGTTTAACTAAATTCTTGCCACAAAGTTGTTAATCATAGAGATATCTACTGTAAGCGTTGCACTCATTGTCTGGCACGTTTGAGTCTTCTGGCTCTCATACTGAAGTGTGTTTGGTGAAACTCGGCCCGTGTAAGTGACCCACAGGCGGCTGTATATTGAGGTGGTTAGAGGCGGTTCGCGGGACGTTCCTCGTGAATGTTTAATCGGAGGGCCGCGCTGACATGACATGCTGCTCTGGGCCTTTTGTACTGCTGACAGTCCTGCGGCGATGGAGTGGCCGGCCCCTGGACACTATCCCTGAGGACCGGAAGGTGCAGCGGACGCAGAGCGGCTTCGACCCCTTCGAGAAGCCGGCTGGTCAGGTGAAGCGCGTGCATTCAGAGAACAACGCCTGCATCAACGCCAAGAGCTCGTCCTCCGGCAAAGAGTCGCCCAAACTCCGCCGTCACTCCAGCCCCAGCTCCGTGAGTGTCTCTCTCGTTAATTAGAGTTTATGACTGCATGCCTAATTTGACACTCTGATCGTTTGCTTGTAGATATTGATGAGAGCTTCATTAGCTGCTTATTTTATTTGGGTTTGTTTTTATTATAATGGTCATTAGACATATCCTGGTGAGCTGTGTATCGACTACATCAGGGATTCCAAAAAAAGAATAGTCTGCTGAACCCCTTTCAGATGGAATATTTACTCAGAATTTCAGTATATTAACAGCACATTCACGATCATGGTTTTCTGACGTTAACGGTCACATGACATGCAGGTATACAATTAAAATATCTCATCTTTTTTTAATAAGCTTTAAATTTGGATGTGTTTCTATTTATTTATTTATTCAAATTTTACATGATGATTTTATTCATTTTTTAGTAAGTTATATTTTATTTTGAATTTTTAAAATTTACATTTATGTTTTGTTTTTTTTTTTTTAGTAAGTGTTTTTAGTTTTTTTTATTTATTGAAATTTAACTTTTTTACTTTAACTTTTTGTTTTAATGGTTTTGTTCATATTTATTTTTAGTATGTGTTAAACATTTTTTATTTTAAAATTATTTATTTTTTTATTTGACTTTTTAATGATTTTATTCATCTTTAGTACTTTAAAAAATAATTGATTTATTTTAATTTTATATTTATTTTTTCGTTTTTATTTTTTCATTTTTTGTTTTAAAAAAGTTCATTTTAATTGTTAATTCTTTTATTCATTTTTATTCATATTAAGTTTTTAATTTAAATTTAATTTTTTATTTCACTTTGATTTTATTCATTTTTAGTATGTTTTATTCAGATTTTTAATTTTAAAATTATTAAAATTTTACTTAATGATTTTATTAGTTTTTAGTGTGTTTTTTAATTTTAAAATTTATTTATTTAAATTTTACTTTTTAATGCCTTTATTCGTTTTAAGTAAGTTTTAGATTTTTTTAATTTCAAAATTATTTGTTTAAATTTTACATTATTTTATTAATGAGCTATTTTTGTAAACACCACTTTGCATACAGCATTTTGTATAATTACTATATTTCAGTTTAATTTAAAAGAGACTAGATGCTTTCTGAAGTATGTAATTCCCAAAGCGAGACACGTTTGACCTGAGAGAGAAAACTGAAGGTGGCCAGTTTGAAGGAAGCACATTTGCTTGCTGATTCACACCAGTGAAAAATGGATGAGTGTAAGGCCAGATAGAAGGAGCAGAGAGAGTGAGCGTGACCTCTGTCCCATCACACCCTTCTCCTTATTCTCCCACAGACCTTATTTAGAAAATCCACTCAAACCTGTTCTCCACAGGGCCCCTGCACTCCCAACGCCACAATCAGGATAATAAAGGCCGTGCTGAGGTGCTATCAGTGTGTATGTGTTTACTGATGGTTTCTTAGAGACAGCTGGTGTCTGGTGTTGATAAAGGCTGCAGGGTTTGCAGTTACAGCCACATCGAAGCGAGCGCTTATCCGGGAAGAGTCCGGTAATCTTTCACACCAATCGCAATAAGTGAGTCGCTGCTGCGGCTGCGGATCGGTGTCAGGCTTCAAACCTGATTACTGAAGAAACGCTGTGTTTTCAGGAGCATTACTGCTGCGGTGCATTTGCTCTTCAGCCTGTGATGAAGACGTTTGAGTTGCATTCAGTACATATTACTGTACATATTACTCTGAGATCAGCTTTAAAAAAAGTAGATGAAATACTTGCCTAAAAACAAATCAAATCGTAATATAAAATTAAAATAAATCATTTTAAAATAAAAAATCTAAATAAATACTTACTAAAAACAAATAAAATTATAATATAAAATCTAAATAAAATACTAAAAACAAATAAAATCATAATATAAATTAAAATAAATTATTTTACAATAAAAAAATCTAAATAAAATACTTACTAAAAACAAAGTCATAATATAAATTAAAATAAATTATTTAAAAATAAACAATCAAAATAAAACACTTACTAAAAACAAAGTCATAATATAAATTAAAATAAATTATTTAAAAATAAACAATCAAAATAAAACACTTACTAAAAACAAAGTCATAATATAAATTAAAATAAATTATTTAAAAATAAACAATCAAAATAAAACACTTACTAAAAACAAAGTCATAATATAAATTAAAATAAATTATTTAAAAATAAACAATCAAAATAAAACACTTACTAAAAACAAAGTCATAATATAAATTAAAATAAATTATTTTAAAATAAAAGTTTTTATTAGTGTTTTATTTTTTATTATTTATTTTAGTTGTACTTTTTTTTACTTTAATACTTTTTGTAATAGTTTTATCTCGTTTTTTATTTTTAAATTATTTCATTTTACTTGTCATTTTTCAATTTATTAAAAAAAATGTTCATTTACTTTTACTTGTTAATAAATGTATACATTTGTCGTGTTTAATGTATTTGAACAAAAAAAACTTGTCATTATGGAATGATTTGTGTGTGTGTGTGTGTGTGTGTGTGTGTGTGTGTGTGCTGTTTTTGAGACTGTTATTTTGTGACATTAATATAAGCCATTATATATCAAAGACCAGTTACACTCACGGTGTGGATGGATTGTTTATGGATATATGGATGACAGTTTATGCCACACAAATACTCTTATAAAGTGAAAACATCCACTTTGGATCTATGAATGTGTCTCTTACTGTGTGTGATCTCACAGTCTGAAGCATCTGTCATAGGAAATCAACGCATGCGCTCATGAATAATTAAGAGAAGCGTCTTCTCATTGGATGAGGACATGGGTTCTCATGAATAATTACGAGACACCGATGAGTCACTGATGTTCTTCAGGTGTAAGAAAACATCACAAAAATTAAAGTTTCCTCCAACAGTTAAAACAAGTGTCTTATATGATTTATGTATGTTAAAATGTAAAAGTATTAAAATCATAAAATTACTATTGTTTTGCAATAATACAGTTGCTAATAATATATTACACGTTTATTTCTCGGTAATATACGCATGACAGTAAAGCACTGAGCTTGAGTTTGGAAGTATACAAAATTTACTTTTATTAAAAACAGTAATGTGCAAAATCAAATTTTTAATGGAACATTTATATATACTACTCTTATTAAATGTACTATTATTCTTAGCAACCACTCCAAGTACCATAGCAACCGCATAGCAACACCCTGGCAACCACCCCGGGTACCTTAGCAACCGCATAGCATCAACTTTGCAACCACCCCGAGTACCCTAGCAACCACATAGCAACCTCTTAGCAACAACCCGAGTACCTTAGCAACTGCATAGCAACACCCTAGCAACCACACTGAATACTCTAGCAACCGCATAGCAACACCTGAGCAATTAGCAACAACCCCGAGTACCTTAGCAACTGCATAGCAACACCTTTCGCAACCAACCAGAGTACCCTAGCAACCGCATAGCAACACCCTAGCAACCACCCTGAGTACCCTAGCAAATGCATAGCATCACCTTTGCAACCACCCCGAGTACCCTAGCAACCACATAGCAACGTCTTAGCAACAACCCAAGTACCTTAGCAACCGCATAGCAACACCCTAGCAACCACACTGAATACCCTAGCAACCGCATAGCAACACCTGAGCAACCGCCCCATGTACATTAGCAACCACATAGCAACACCTTAGCAACCAACCAGAGTACCCTAGCAAACACATAGCAACCTATTAGCAACAACCCCGAGTACCTTAGCAACCAACCAGAGTACCCTAGCAACCACATAGCAACCTCTTAGCAACAACCCCGAGTACCTTAGCAACTGCATAGCAACACCTTAGCAACCAACCAGAGTACCCTAGCAACCGCATAGCAACACCCTGAGTACCCTAGCAAATGCATAGTATTATAAGAATAATAGTATTATATATATAGTATTATACTGAACTGACGACAACTTTAGTGATTATAAAAGGAACGCTCTTGATGTGTGATTCAGGGATTCAGAGACTTCCTGCTGGATGAATCCTGGATCTGACCTCACGTCTGCTGCAGCATCACACAGTATCCTCTAATAAAAGCGCCTCTCTCTCTCTCTCCCTCTCTCTCTCTCTCTCTCGCTCTCTCTCTCGCTCTCTCTCTCGCTCTCTCGCTCTCTCTCTCTCTCTCTCTCTCTCTCTCAGCCCACGAGCCCAAAGTTCGGAAAGGCAGATTCGTACGAGAAGCTGGAGAAGCTCGGCGAGGGATCCTACGCCACCGTCTACAAAGGGAAGAGCAAGTGAGTTCAGACAGGCTTCCTGCGGGGCATTACAAATGATCAAATTCATTTATTTATGAAATCATAAAACACAGAATCCAGAAAACCACATTTGGGGTAAAAAAAAAAAGAATTTAGAAAAAAAGTAATTTCATATGGCCCTATAAATTTTAATGCATTATTTTAAATGTAATTATTATTTTTTAAATTTTAAAAGTTTTATGAATTAAATTGATTAGACATGCTTTTTGATTATTGCCATGTAATTAAACCGTTAAACCAGAATCCAGAAATATTATTGTAACAGAAAACTCAGGATTCGGGGAAAAGTCAAACAGATTTCATATGGCTGTTAATGCACTGTGATTTTATCCAGTGTGTCTCTATTTGTGAATGCCGCACATTTAACGATTGCTTATGATGCACCTTTGATGAATCGACAATGTTTACGTTAGGGTTTTTATATTATATGTATGCATGCATATTTTATGTCTCTCAAATTTTTGATTGAGCAGCTGGAAGTAGTAAAGCATAGACATTTCAAAATAAGAGTCCCGGTGTATTTCAGGCTTGTTTATGATTGCAAGTCATTTTTTCCTGGATATTTTTGGTTCTCATATTTCCCATCTTTTTGAATGAGCAGCTGAAGTTGTAAACCATGGACATTTCTAAATAAGAGTCCTTGTGTATTTCAGGCTTGTTTATGATTAAAAGCCCCTCATTATGCATAAATGTGTATATATATAATTTTCCCCCTGGCTATTATTGGTATTTAGGTTGCACAGTAAACAGCATCTGGCATTTAAATCAACATAACCTCTTGTATTTTCTCTCTGAACCGCCCCATCACAGGAAGACTAAGAACATTATTTAACACATTCAATAGAGATTTTATTAGGATCAGCACAATAATATTTTAAATTTCCTTTTCTTTAAACACATTATTGTTTGAGCAAAATCCAATATCGATGGACCTCTTCTTCATGTGTAGTGAAATATGAAAACATTACACAGTAAATCAATTTCAATGCATAAATATTAAATAAGCATGTCTTGAGTATTTAAACTTGCAGTTACTTGAATGTGAGATGCAGCCTGTTTAATTAAGTAAAATAATATGATACCTCATTTATTTCTAGATTGTATGGGCTTTTTCTGTAGTTGCATGCGGTGTTAATTTTATTTGTGCAGGTCTTAAACTCTGCTGAAACCCTGCTGTATTTCTCTGGGTTCTTTGACTCGTTTGGTAATGGAACTGTAAGCAAAGAGGCAGCAGATAATTATTATTATGTGAAATCTGAATGAAATGATTTTTCATATTGCTGTAATAAAAGCCAGAGCCTGAAATGACGTGTCGTATGAAAGCCTTTCCGACGGGAGCTTAACACCTGTTTCTCCTTCATAAATTAAAATCTGGAAAATACAATTTCAGCCAGCGTGAAATGAATTGCACGTTATTGTCACTGTTTTTCATAGTAATGATGTTATTTGTGTGTAAGTTCATTATGACCTCCGTGTTCAGATTCACTCCACTGCCTCTAAATTGCATTTCATTGACTTCTTAAGTCGACAGTAAATCAAACACAAACCATCAGTGCCTTTTATTTAAAAACACAAAACGGTTTCTCTGTAGTTTTGCTACAGTCCTTTTCTGATGACATCATCAATCCGTACTCTCAAACAATAGTCTTTGGATAAAAGTCAACTGGATAAAATCATACTGCATGCAGGGCCATATGTTTGACGCTTCCCCAAATTCTGTTTCAATAATATTTCTGGATTCTGGTTTAATGCTTTAATTAAATAAATAAATATATTTATTTATTTATTTAATTAATTAAAGCATTAAACCAGAATTTTTTAATTTTTTAAATTTTTACATAAAAGGAGAATATCCAAGCTTCAGTTTTCCAAATACTGAAATAAATATTTTTGCATTTTAAAAACTAAATGCAAATGAAATAATTCCTTTACAGCAAATTATTGCATTGTCAAATTAAATATAATTAATGTAATTAATAAATATAAATAATTAAATAAATTGGATAGATAGATAGATTTTATTTATTTATTTATTCAAGTTGCCTTTTCTGCCAAATGCACAAAAATCTATAAAAATGTATAAAAATTATTTCAATGCACAAATAAATAAATAATATTTCAGA